CTGATAAAGGTCTAGTATCCAGAATATATAAAAAACCCTCACAACCAAACGATAAAAAGACGACCTAATTTAAAAGTGAGCAATGTATTTGAAAAAATAAATTCTTCAAAGAAGATACACAAATGGCCAGTAAGAATGGTCAATATTGAAAAGATGCTTGACATCATCAGTCATCAGGGAAATGTAAATCAAAGGAAAAGTGAGATACCACTTCACAGCCACTAGGATGACTAGAGTAAAAAAGTCAGACAAGTTTCGGTGAGAATACAGGGGAATTGGAACCCTCACACACTGACGGTGTGAGTGTAAAATGGTGCAGTCACTTTGGAAATAGTTTGGCATTTCCTCAAAAGTTAAAAATAGAGTTACCATATGACCCAGCAACTCCACTTGTAGGTGTATATCAAAGAGTATTCCACAAAAACTTATACAACTAACATTTGAAGAAGCATTACTTATAATAACTAAAGAGTGGAAACAACTTATCCATTCAACGGATGAATGGATAAACAGAAATGTGGTATATCCATTCAACAGATTATGGATCTATAAGAAGAAATGAGGTACTGATCCATGCTATAATATGGGTGAATCTTGAAAACATTATGCTCAGTGAAAGAAATCCAGTACAAAAGGCTGTGTATGGTATGATTCCATTTGTATGAATCACCTAGAAAAGGCAGATCGATAGAAACAGCAAGTAGATTAGTAGCTACCAGGTCTGCTGATGAGGAATGGAAAGCTAGAGCAAATGGTTTTGTCACTCTTTGAGGTGATGCAAATGTTCTGGAAGTAGGTAATGGTAATGATTGCACAGCTTGTGAATATACTAAAAGCCACTAAATTATACACTTTAGAGTACATTGAATTTTATCTCAATGCAAAATAAACACAGAAAACATAAACGATGGATACATGTTGAAAAAAAAAAACAGTCAATGTCACTAGTAGTCAAAGAAATGTAAATCAAAACAGAAGGTTATTTTTCCATCACCCTGGCAGATATTATCAAAAATAAAAATACTCACTGCTGACAAAAATGATGATCTCATATATTGTTGTAAGAACTGTAAACTGATGGGTCCTTTCTGGAAAATAATTTGGTAATATGTATTAAGAAGCTTAAAGTGCTGATTCTATTTAACCTAGTCATCCCAGCTCTAGGAATCTGAATTCCTTATTTAGTAGACCATATAGAAAAAGGACCTTTGTTATTTATTATGAACCTCCCACTCCCTCTGAGCTAGGTGGAAAAATGAGTCTCACCCTTACCCTGGGCCCTGTTTGGACTCTGTGTAATAGTTCCCATCATTTCTATTTTCTTACTTCTACAACTCACTTCTACCTTATTGACCTGCTCTGGATGATGTTAACAGTATTCTGAACATCTGTGCAGCTCCCTGTCACCTTCCCCTACAATTCAACCGGTTCAGTCACCATCTAGTGTCCCTGATACTCTTCTTTCATTATGTTCTCATCATAACTATCTTGTGTTTTCCCTCAAAAAACAAAAAAACCAACAAACAACAACAAAAAAACAGGGCTATTATCTGCTTTGCCTCATAATAATGAGGGCTTTTTCTGGAACCAGATTGCTTGGGTTTGAATTCCAGCCTTGCCACTTGCCAGCTCTGTGGTCCAGGTCTCAGTTTTCTCATTACATGGAATTATCATAAGAATTATATAATTATTACATGGAAAGTAGTCAGAGCAGTTCTGGCACATAGTAAACCCTGAATTTGTGTTGTTATTATTATTATCATCTCATAGAGATATTATGAAGCTCAAATAAAATAATGTGTATGAAACTGTTTTTTAATGCACTGCTATTATCATTTCATATTATAGTGACATGTGTATACCTTATCCTCATAAATTATAGAAGAGCAAGGGCTATCTTATTTTTAATGGCTCACATTGCACATAGTAAATGCTCAAAATTTGCATTGTAATTCAATGTTACTTTTATGATCAAATCACTATTGACTTTTGGTTGTCTAAATACCATCACATCAAGACCACTGACAATCTTGTTATAACATATATCCACTTGTGTCTTCCACTATGTCAGCAGTCTTTTCAAAGTGGAGTCCACAATGGACAATCCACTGCAAGTATGGGAGGAAAATTTTTAGGAACTTTATCTACACTTTTTCCTCATCTTTTGTAAATTTCCATTATTTGGTATTTATCATTACTAATGTGTGCAAAATTACTATGAAAATGCTATGACATATAAATAAATGCTAATGTATATTGGAAGTGCAGGCTCAAGATAGTTTTACTAAAGGGTGTACCGTCTAAAAAGTCTGGAGATCAGCACACTATCCCACAATATGGTTTCTCTCCTAGCATCAAGCTGATCTATTCAACTCCTGCTAGAACACAGTTTATATCTCTTTGTTTCCAAATCTGACTCACAACCAGTCTGTCTGAAATGAGAGTATGGCAGCCACTCCTTTTCAAGCTGCAACTTGCATTCTTCACACCAAGACTTAATCATCACCAAACGAAAGCTTCTTAAAAGAAGGGTCTGTATCTGGTACACCTTTGTGTCTACTGCCACATCTCCACCACCCCACCACAAAAAAGTGTTTTCCATAATAACTGTCACATGATAGGCTACACATAAATGTTTGCTGAATGAATAAACTGACAGAGAGATTGCTATTGGAAGGCAGGAGAGTGTGCTGGTTAACAGCAGAGGCTCAGATCCTGTCTCTGCCACTTAACTGCGTGGCCCTGGGTCTCAGATTTTTCCTCTGTGAAATGAAGGTAAGTAACAAAAAACATTATCTTAACTCAAAATGATTAATGATTAATTTAGTAGCATAATTTAATGCAAAAAAATGCCCCAATTAATGAAATATAAAATGGGGCAATTACCATGTAGTGAGCACTTTTTTTTTTTTGTCAGTGGACAAAATCAGCAGTTCTCTGTGATACAGTGTTCAATACATATCAGCTTGAGTTTCCCATATCCCTCCAAGAGGTATAACACTGAATTTCCCAAGGTGTCATGCCGCTTCTCTATGAGTATGCGGAGGAGACAGTAGAGTGGAAGGAGGGGAAAGGTTAGGCAATTTCCTCCCATCTTATGAACATCTGAGAGGGTTTTCCTTTGTCATTTGGGGTTTCAAGTACTGGTCACTGTTAAAACAACACATCCCATTATTTTAATACAGCTCTTAAACTGTAAAAAAAATAATAATTTTGGTAGATGACTTATTTGTCTATGTTGAAAATCCCAAAGAACCAATAACAACAACAACAACACCTCCTGTAACTAAAAAGCAATTATAGAAAGGTTTCAGGGTACAAGGTTAATATACAAAAGTCAACTGCTCTCCTATATACCTGCAATAAATAATTGGAATTTGAAATTCAAAACACAACACCGTTTACAAAAGTACCAAAAATACAAAATACTTAGATATAACTCTAACAAAATACTAACAAGATCAACACAAGGAAAAGTGCAAAATTCTGGTGAAAGAAATTAAAAAAATTAAATAAATAGAAAGATATTCCATGATCATGGATAGTAAGATTCAATATTGTTAAGAGAGATAAGATGTGAGTTCAGATACCTCACCAAAGAAGATATATAGATGGCAATAGTATATGAAAAGATGTTCAACATCATATGACATTAGGGAATTGCTAATTAAGACTACAATGAGGTACCAAGACACACCTATTAGAATGGCTGGAACTTAAAACACTGACAACACCAAATGTCAGGAGTTCTCATTCATTGCTGGTGAGAATGCAAAATGGTACACTTTGGAAGACAGTATGGCAGTTTTAATACAAAGCTAAACATAATCTTACCATATGATCCAGCAATCATTCTCCTAGGAATTTATCCAAATGAGTTGAAAACGTATGTCCACACAAAACCCTGCACATGAATGTTTATAGAAGCTTTATTCGTGACTGCCAAAAATTAGAAGCCACCAAGACATATCCTTTAATCAGTGAATGGATAATCAAACTGTAGTACATCCATTCAATGGAATTTTATTTAAAAATAAAAAGGAATGAGCCATCGAGCCACAAAAAGTCATGGAAGAACCTTAAATACACGTTGCTAAGTGAAAGAATCCAGTCTAAAAAAGCTACATACTGCATGACTCCAACTATATGACATTGTAGAAAGGCTAACCACAGAGACCATAACAGATCAGTGGTTGCCATGGGTTCAGAGGCAGGGAGGGAGGGAGGAATCAGTGGAGCACAGGTAAGTTTTAAGGGCAGTGAAACTATTCTGTATTATCCTGTAATGGTGGATCCACAACCTCATGCGTTTGTCAAAACCCATAGAACTGTGCAGCACAAAAAGTAAACCCTAATGTCAACTATGGAATTTAGTTAATAACAATGTATCAATATTGGTTCATCAATTGTAACTAATGTAGCACACAAATGCCAGATGTTAATAATAGGGGAAATTGTGTAGAGGGAAAGTGGGTATATGGGAATTCTCTACTTTCTCCTCAACTTTTCTGTAAACCTAAAACTACTCTAAAGAATAATAGCTATTATTTTAAAAGTCCATAGTAAGTAAAAAAATAACAGCAAATTTTATATATATACACATATGTATAAAAATACCTAAGGATATGCATGTACACACTTTCAGGTAAAATAAAATAACTATACAACTTTTTCACGATAATTTTTAAACATTATATTCTGTTATTTTCCTTCTCCTAATATAATATGTTTTTACAGGGACCATCAATGGGAGGTGAGGAAATGCAGATAATTATGCTAAGTTATGCTCAGAAAAATTTTGGTAGTGAAGGACAGCTGTGGGAGTCTGAGGTCTAGGAAAGAATTCTTTTTACAGGATATAATAATGCCAACTTAAAAAGAAATATTGTTAGCAGCCTATTTCAAGGAATATAAATAAATATTAGAACATAAAACTGCATACCAACAGTATATTTCAAATTTTCCCAGTTAGTTAAAACGTGAGGAAAACAAACACATACCAAATCATTGATGTTGACCATTAGAACATTCTGATAGGCTCCGCCGTCTTTACCTTCAATATCACAATCAGATGATGCTACTGGCAACAGAACAAGGATCAGGGGAGGAATTCCAAAGATATACCTAAAAGAAACTAAATTCAACAATAAGTAAGAATAAGCTAAATGTCATAAGTCATATTATATCATTTGATGGTGGTATTTCAATTGGCCTGACCACTTATTTCTAATAATTTTTAAAATGTATCTTGGTTTTACATAGTGTAGGAAGAACTCTAAAGTTCAATATTATGTAACTACCAAAGAAAGACAATATTTTAGAGTCTAGGTTTCTTTCCGTTTTTATTCAGATGAAACTCTTTGGGAATGTGCAGAACAATTGTGATGACAGCAAAATCTCTTTGCCTCATCATCAGAAAAACAGGTAAACTACAGGTTAACAATGATACATTTTTGAAATTTTATGATCTAAGGCACGTGATTGTATATTTATGTAAGACTTGATGGTTGTTCAAGTGTCCAGCTGCTTCCTGGAAACAACATTGCAGGAAGTTTATCTGCATGGTACTGCACTGTGATTATATTCTTTCTTTGTAATGATGGATCCTAGAAGGCTTACCCTCCTCAGAACTGTGACAAAGTTGATATTTATATTATGAGACTCCTTATCTTTTCAGTATCTTCTTTTTCTAAATGCCCAGAGACTCACATTCTCTTCAAACACAGCCCTGTTTAGCTTCTTGACATGTTAGGAAAACACAATAAATAAATTCATACCCTGTTAACTAATGATTTATATCTGTTTTTAAATAAGTCTTCTCATTTAGGGGCAACTGTTAATCAAAAGGAATGAAATTATAATGGTATCATTTTGGGCAGTAGTAATACACTGCTAGAAAGCCAGTGAATCCCTGAGGCATTAAAATCTGGTTTTATAGGGACTGATTTTATTTCTTCATAAGCCTGCTGGAGTGTCTTGTTTGCATCTTTCTGTAAACCCTCAAGTATTGTTGACAATATATTTCCTGTGATTTTGCCCAGTGAACTTTAATTGTTCTTGTTGAGTGCAAGATATTTCGCATGTATGCCTTCTCCTGATTAAGATTACAAACAATACTCCTTGGAACCCAAGGAACTAATATTGTGAAAACAACCTAAAGACTGTCAAATATATCATAAATTTCCCATAACATTCTCATCTATTACATCATTACCTGTCATATAAAAATTAGTAGCTCTCCCCAGTAAGTTATGTGCCATTAGTGACCTTTATTTTTACAATAGCGAATGTAGGCTGGGCAGCAGATAGGGGAACAAACATGAATCCTACATCTAATCTTAATATGTCACTGACACCTAACAAGGTAAGAGAAACAAGATGAGATGTGGAGCCTATTCATAGCTCTGCCACTAAATTTCTATATGCATGATGAGCAAGGATTCACTTTGGAGATTAATAATGATGATGAGGCTAGTTACCTTTAATTGAGTACCTGTCATGTACCAAGCACTGTTCAGTGCCTTATACTTACTATCTAAGGAGCAAAAGGGTCCTACCTGCTAGTTAATCTTTTTATAAAACATAAATAGTAAGGTGCCAGGTCTGGATTCTAACCTGAGCTGGTTACTTCACCAGGATTTGATCAGAAATGCCCATTTTCTTCTGATAACATGTCATCACTTTGGTCTTCTGAATGAAAACCACTTCCATGTACTAGTATACAGCCCTACGTCTCTTTCTTCTACCACAGTCCCTTCATCCTGAAGATGCTCAAACAATGATCAATTGCTAACTATTTATTGAGTCCTAGCTTTGTATAGATTGTATAGATTGCATAGAGCCAAACTTTTTACTTTCTCTGTCATCTTACAGATGTCCACCAGGGATACTTTGCAAGGAGTAGATGGTAAGGAAATTTTATACAGCCTATAACTTGAAATGAGCTTTAAAAGAAATATAACAAAATAATTAAAGATTAGAATGCAAAAGAGACATTTTTACTATTATACATAAACGTCATTTCAAAGGTCCTCATTTTATGTTTTAATAAAGGAGGTGGTTTTATTTTCTATGAGCACTAGTTGTTGTGCCCTCTTCACTCCAAATTTCAGTAATTAGTGCTCCCAAAATTCACATCGACCCATTTACTCATTGGATGGCATTTTGTCAATGCTTTCAAATGATGGCTTAGTGGAAAATTCAGTCTTTTTTGAGTAACTAGTTTCTCAATTCTAAAACAATATTTGCCTTATCTGGAAAGCATGTCTTTGGTTGCCATCTCTGTTGTTAAATAGGCTAGCCCCAGATAGACTAGGGCAATGCAAAGTACAGAGGGAGACGCGGGGTTTTGTGTTGGTATGCCAATGAGTCGTGTGACTGACTGAAGGACAGAGCCACTTAAAAGCTTCACTTGAGACTAAATGATCTCTTAATGTCGCTTTCAACTCTCAAACACCTTAATTCTAAGAATCTACCTAGCCATCCAAATACAATAACTTTAGATTTGAAATCGCCTGACCAACAATGTTGCAAACACATCTAGGGTTTCAAACCCACATCTCAGAGGTTCCCAGCTTTCTCATTAATGACTTACGGTTTGGTCTGCAATTGAAGCCTTTTCTCCACACCACATAGACAGTAACATATTAATATTGCCTAGTTTGAGCCCGCTTTTGACACTGTTGTCACAATAGAAAAGGACTCTGCTTTTATTTTGGTTTTAGATTATACATAGACACCCATTCCTTCCCCCCACCTTGAACTTTCCCTTAGGTTACAAAAAAGACAAACCATAAAGAATAATGCAAGGCAAGCTTGGGCTTGTGGAATTTTCTTCAGATTTCCAGAAGGGATTGAAACTGGAGAGTTTGTTTTCAGTAGGGAATTTGGTTAAACCAGAATGATGGCTGTCTAAAAAAAAATCTTGTTGGTTTTTAAATTAAGCCAAATAATACATTTAATCCTCAGATGCTTAAGTTATGGGGTCAAAGTGAACATGAACAAATTAGTTTCAACAGTCCTTCAAATCCAATCTTTCCTTAGTGTTTAAGATCGATCAGTGTTTATTGGTTGTCTATTATAGACATTATATAGACCTATTTTCACTGGGATTTTAAAGAAATGGTCAAAAGACATTTAAGATGGAATGAAAGACATTATCTGAATGTATAAGACTTGGCTTTAATATGAACAATTGGCACAAGTAAGTGAGTAAAAAAGAAAAAGTTAATAAACAGTAGGCAATAACCATATGTTATATGAAAATCAGCTTTTTAAGCTTACAAAAATGAATGTGATTATGCTCACATAAAGAATTCTAATACATTCCACAAACGTATTAAGATTGGATTATAACTTCTATCCACAAGTCCCATGAAAAACAACAGTTAAAGACATTTCTGAAGCCATCCTAGAATACTGCATACAATATTTCATTTAATCCCATAACCATTTCTTGAGGTAAGTACTACCAATCACTAACATTTTTGCTGATGGAGAATCTGGGGCCCAAACATTTTTCCCCATATAAAATATGTCTTGTAAGAGGCATGATTCAAATCCAAGAGTCTAGAAACTAAGCTGTTAGCCGCTGAGCTGCACTGCTTCCTATAAAAATAACTGCATGTGTGTAGTCAAGGGAAATGTACAAAAGTCCATCTTCCTGCAGATGAATCTCACTACAGCACTTCCTTGGCCAATTCCTGAAACACGGCATCACATACTCCTATTTCAGGAAAAAAGACACTGATTATTTGCTTTATTGCATTAGGTTATGTGTCAGAGATGAGGCCAGAAAAGCAATCTCACATCACGTGTGTGACATCAACATGTAAGCTGGTCCTACAAAATAACATTTTCCATTTTTGTTTAAGGTATTGCAACACTGATGTGGTACCCTGTGTAACCCTCCTTTATACTTGTTCAGCCTTTTTAATCTTTCTCAGTTCTCTGTTTTTATTGCTATTCCATTTTTGGGTCCTCAAGTATGATTAAATTATCTAAACCAGATATAGCACAATTGAGGACCACATAGTACGTCCTCAACTACTTCAACTCCCAAAAGAAGTGGCAAAAAGTAAAAGGATAAAAAGTAACCCACAATAGAATTAGAAATGCAAAAGGAGAAGTAACAACTGACACTGCAGAAATACAAAAGATCATGAGATTACTACAAGCAACTCTATGCCAATAAAATGGACAACCTGGAAGAAATGGACAAATTCTTAGAAATGCACAACCTGCCAAGACTGAATCAGGAAGAAATAGAAAATATGAACAGACCAATCACAAGCACTGAAATTGAAACTGTGATTAAAAATCTTCCAACAAACAAAAGCCCAGGACCAGATGGCTTCACAGGCGAATTCCATCAAACATTTAGAGAAGAGCTAACACCTACCCTTCTCAAACTCTTCAAAAATATAGCAGAGGGAGGAACACTCCCAAATTCCTTCTATGAGGCCACCATCACCTTGATACCAAAACCAGACAAGGATGTCACAAAGAAAGAAAACTACAGGCCAATATCACTGATGAACATAGATGCAAAAATCCTCAACAAAATACTAGCAAACAGAATCCAACAGCACATTAAAAGGATCATACACCATGATCAAGTGGGGTTTATTCCAGGAATGCAAGGATTCTTCAATATACGCAAATCTATCAATGTGATTAACCATATTAACAAATTGAAGGAGAAAAACCATATGATCATCTCAATAGATGCAGAGAAAGCTTTTGACAAAATTCAACACCCATTTATGATAAAAACCCTGCAGAAAGTAGGTGTAGAGGGAACTTTCCTCAATATAATAAAGGCCGTATATGACAAGCCCACAGCCAACATCATCCTCAATGGCGAAAAACTGAAAGCATTTCCACTAAGGTCAGGAACAAGACAAGGTTGCCCACTCTCACCACTCTTATTCAACATAGTTTTGGAAGTTTTAGCCACAGCAATCAGAGAAGAAAAGGAAATAAAAGGAATCCAAATCGGAAAAGAAGAAGTAAAGCTGTCACTGTTTGCAGATGACATGATACTATACATAGAGAATCCTAAAGATGCTACCAGAAAACTACTAGAGCTAATCAATGAATTTGGTAAAGTAGCAGGATACAAAATTAATGCACAGAAATCTCTGGCATTCCTATATACTAATGATGAAAAATCTGAAAGTGAAATCAAGAAAACACTCCCATTTACCATTGCAACAAAAAGAATAAAATATCTAGGAATAAACCTACCTAAGGAGACAAAAGACCTGTATGCAGAAAATTATAAGACACTGATGAAAGAAATTAAAGATGATACAAACAGATGGAGAGATATACCATGTTCTTGGATTGGAAGAATCAACATTGTGAAAATGACTCTACTTCCCAAAGCAATCTATAGATTCAATGCAATCCCTATCAAACTACCACTGGCATTTTTCACACAAGTAGAACAAAAAATTTCACAATTTGTATGGAAACACAAAAGACCCCGAATAGCCAAAACAATCTTGAGAACGAAAAACGGAGCTGGAGGAATCAGGCTGCCTGACTTCAGACTATACTACAAAGCAACAGTGATCAAGGCAGTATGGTACTGGCACAAAAACAGAAAGATAAATCAATGGAACAGGATAGAAAGCCCAGAGATAAACCCATGCACATATGGTCACCTTATCTTTGATAAAGGAGGCAGGAATGTACAGTGGAGAAAGGACAGCCTCTTCAATAAGTGGTGCTGGGAAAACTGGACAGGTACATGTCAAAGTATGAGATTAGATGACCCCCTAACATCATACACAAAAATAAGCTCAAAATGGATTAAAGACCTAAATGTAAGGCCAGAAACTATGAAACTCTTAGAGGAAAACATAGGCAGAACACTCTATGATATAAATCACAGCAAGATCCTTTCTGACCCACCTCCCAGAGAAATAGAAATAACAAAAATAAACAAATGGGACCTAATGAAACTTCAAAGCTTTTGCACAGCAAGGGAAACCATAAACAAGACCAAAAGACAACCCTCAGAATGGGAGAAAATATTTGCAAATGAAGCAACTGACAAAGGATTAGTCTCCAAAATTTATAAGCAGCTCATGCAGCTCAATAACAAAAAAAAAAACAAACAACCCAATCCAAAAATGGGCAGAAGACCGAAATAGACATTTCTCTAAAGAAGATATACAGTCTGCCAACAAACACATGAAAGAATGCTCAACATCATTAATCATTAGAGAAATGCAAATCAAAACTACAATGAGATATCATCTCACACCAGTCAGAATGGCCATCATCAAAAAATCTAGAAACAATAAATACTGGAGAGGGTGTGGAGAAAAGGGAACACTCTTGCACTGCTGGTGGGAATGTGAATTGGTTCAGCCACTATGGAGAACAGTTCCTTAAAAAACTACAAATAGAACTACCATATGACTCAGCAATCCCACTACTGGGCATATACCCTGAGAAAACCAAAATTCAAAAAGTCATGTACCAAAATGTTCATTGCAGCTCTATTTACAATAGCTCGGAGATGGAAACAACCTAAGTGCCCATCGTTGGATGAATGGATAAAGACATATATACATGACATATATGACATATACATGACATATATACAATGGAATATTACTCAGCCATAAAAAGAAACGAAATTGAGCTATTTGTAATGAGGTTGATAGACCTAGAGTCTGTCATACAGAGTGAAGTAAGTCAGAAAGAGAAAGACAAATACCGTATGCTAACACATATATATGGAATTTAAGAAAAAAAAATGTCATGAAGAACCTGGGGTAAGACAGGAATAAAGACACAGACTTACTGGAGAAGGGACTTGAGGATATGGGGAGGGGGAAGGGTGAGCTGTGACAGCGCACAAGAGAGGCATGGACATATATACACTAACAAATGTAAGGTAAATAGCTAGTGGGAAGCAGCCGCATGCCACATGGATATCAGCTCGGTGCTTTGTGACCGCCTGGAGGGGTGGGATAGGGAGGGTGGGAGGGAGGGAGACAAAGAGGGTAGAGATATGGGAACATATGTATATGTATAACTGATTCACTTTGTTATAAAGCAGAAACTAACACACCATTGTAAAGCAATTATACCCCAATAAAGATGTTAAAAAAAAAAAAAAAGTAACCCTATCCTTAAGCTTCTAGTGAATTCTACTGGAAAAAAATCATTATCAAAATCACTCATAGTTATTATTATTAGGAGTTTAGAATTCTAATATTTTGGTTGCTGATAACTTATGATGCACGATTAGTATAGATATACTTCAGGAAATAGAGGTTCCTTGTTAGTAATGGGCGCCTTAGCTTCCTTTTCTTGTTTTACCTCACCACTCCAGATCAGAGGTGATGGAAAGATTAGATCTGGGAGTGGTCCAGAAAAAAGCAATTGCAGGAGATCCATGGGCATTGTAAGGAAAACAGGAATATACCTAATTTCTAATTCTATATTAAAGTTCTGGAGGACGCCCATTACAAATCTTCTCTACGCTAAATCCGCTCCCCACCCCCATTTACTTTGCTACTGATCAGGTACTTCTTGACTATGTCAATTTTTGATGCTTTAATACCTGTGAGTAGGGATAGGGCTCTTTTGATCTAACGGTGCCGCCGTGAAAGGGCACAGACCAGGCATCAAACACAAGAACAATCTGCTCCCTATTCTGGCCCCTCCCGCACCCGCCTCCTTTTGCTTAAGGAAGTATTTACTATAAAAAAGTAGAATTTCCCTCAGCAGATCCTCTCCACTCACATCTCTTTTTCCCCTTTTTTTCTTCCAGTCAACTTTTGGACCCGTTACCTTGGCCATATGGCTGCCAATGGGAATCCAGCTCGCCTCAACTCTGCCCTTGTCCATTTTAAGTCCGTATTTCGCACAGATAAAATAGACTAAATCTCGGCAAGGGTCTAGAATTTAGAATTATGCCTGTTAATCCTGCCTCCGTCCATGAGTGCCCATATAGGAAAGAAACCAAAACCCGAAAGTGGCCTTGTGCCAGCCCGAGCACTTGGGTTCCCAGCAAAAGACACAAGGTACAGCCCCAGTTGGAAACTCCCAGCCTCAATGAGGAAAAACGGGTTTTTCCAGAGACCTGTCCCCTTGAGGTTTAAAAGCGTGTCCCGTGGGAGCTTCGCTTTCGCTTCTCTAAGGGGTTGGAGCTGCAAGAGCCCAGATCCTCGCCGATCCCGGGGCACCTGTGAGTACCGTGGCGCGACCAGGAGCCCGGGGAGGGTGGGTTGGGCGCCGGGTTGACAGCGGGCAGCGCTGGCGAGGGGAGATTGACGGAGATTGACGCTGGCGAGGGGAGATTGATTGGGATCTGGGCGCGGGCTGCCACGGCTGAGCGGCTCGGAGGCTGCAGCGCTCGGTCTCGGGACAGAGAGCAGGCGTCTGGGACTGCTTCTCCCACGCAGCCCGCCAGGCTCAGCAGCCCCAGGTGCAAGTGGTGATGCGCCAGAGTACTCGGGTGAGGCTGCCGGCTGCACAAGGGCAGAGCCAGGGCTCTCCGCAGATCCAAAAGTGCAAGGCCGGGCTCTTCCCGGACGCGCCTGGGCGCGGGGGCCCCGCATCATGTCCCAGAGTACCCTGGCGTGCCGCGCGCGCGAATTTATGCGCCCGGGAGAGGAGCGCTTACCATGGAACATGGTCTGCGGGAGGCGGGCGTGGTCATGATGACCGCAACTGCAGCAGGAGCAAGCTCTCACCGCCCATAGTCACTCCCAGGACCCTGGTCTTCCGCGGAGTTGCCGGGAGTCCGTGCCGGCTAGGGCAGTCTCTGCAGCTGGTTCCTCCTACCCACGCCGCGCCTGCTGTTTCATCCATCCCAAGGGGGGCGGCACACACCACGGCCCGGCTCTGCGCTTTGCCTTTCCCATAACTTCCGTAGGATCAGCCGACAGTGTACTTTCAGTTTCTACTTTGCGCTTGGTCTGCAGGTTCGATCTCTGAGTTAACCACTGGGGCACCTTCACCTCCCCGCACACCTCCTTCTCCTGGTCACCTGCGTCCTCCCCTAGCGCTTCCTGTGCACCTGGACCAGGACCAGAGGAGGGCGCGGAGTCCCAAAGCACCACAGAAGGAATGAGTTGGCCTTCTGAATAGGGGCGATTCGAGGCAAAGACTTTCCAGATGACCTCTAAACCGCCTTGGCAAAGGCGGGCGACTAGGATCTAAAAGCATCGGTTGCTAATGTGTCCACAGAAGCCACAGATGTGTAGGGCGAAAACTGGGCTATTGCAAGCGGACGCCAGGGAGGAGGCCTCGCAGCTCTTGCCGCGGATGTGGTGGTGGACGATGCCAAGTCAGTCGTCTTGTTTAAAAAAAAAAAAAAAAAAAAAAGAAA